AGGTCGAAAAACAATGAGAATCATGATGAGTGACACTTGGAGTGATCTGGAGAACCGTCTTCAATCAGCCTTGGAAGAAATGGTACCGTCCATGCTGCATTATCTGAGGGAAGTTTTTGCAGTATTCAGTTCGACTACGGAATTCTGTGACCGAGAGGGGATTTCGTTGCGCGACGCCAAATTTCAAAAAGAGCAACATTGGATCGAGTTCATCCGCGGAGAGAAGCCCCAATAACGAGACCATTTAAACCGTCATCGTGGCACGTTCATAGCTATATGGTTATCCTCTTGGTGGTCTCTTGTAACTATCGACTTTCTTTTGCATTAGAACTCGTCTAACTGAACTTCACCTTATGACCTTCTCTATGACTCTTGTAACACTCCTGTTAATCTATCAATAGAAACAACGGCACTCAGTTTGACCTTCCCTTATCACTAATCACTGTATCCCCAAGAATCCATACTCCTTTTGAGAGCTACTCCGATTCTACGATTGCCTACTGCTTCCTACTCACTACCCAAGTCTTTGGTGTCCTGGATGAACTCGTAGCGGGTTGAGGACGGTCGAAGCAGGTCCTAAGTTGGCAGGCGGCGCCGTTGGAAACGCCGAATGTGTACAATATCAGGCTTGAGTAATTCTGCAGGACGAAATACGATTCTTGGACAAGCTCCTGGATAAAGTGATGCCGCTATGGAGGCAAGTTGGCGCTATTACTCGTCACCAACCACACTCATCGAGATTTCTACCATCACGATTAAAGTCAGATACACTTGAATAGGATGGATAGTGTTGGTGAATCGGCAGTAGAACGTGCACCTGTAGAGATCTGGCGATTGATCTTTCAACACGCATGTGCTTCACCCTATTTTCCATTTGTTGATGAGAGGCACCAACGCTTGAATCCCTCTATAGTTCAGAACCGTCATCTATTCACAACTCGATGGCGTCAATCGCATAGCTTTAACGAGTCTGACTCGGCTTTCAAGACACTACGCTCGGTATGCCGAAACTGGAAAGCAATTACCGACACCATTTCTCATGGTCGATACATCTACACCAATCTAGAAGACTTCTATTTTCCTCCCCTTCACACTGATCATGCACACAAAGTCGAGATCATGCAATTGATTGGTCCATATTTGAGTCAATACTGTTTCTGCTCAAAGTCGATGCCTTGCCAATCTGGGAAGTGCGCCTATCATACCCAAGCTCGGGGGCCCCTCGATGAAAAATGGTGGGATATTGATAATGATAGTTTGCAGGCCAAGCTAGGAAATGTCAAAATAATTTTTCTACGTGACAACTCCGCGACCTCAGAACGTGTCCTCAAGGCTGCGCACAACATTCAAGCTCTTTATTGGAACCAATTTCCTAGTTCCGCTTCACAGCTTACTCCAAACGGGTCCCCCCTACTCTCTATGTCATTTAGCCTCCGAGGGATGAAATTTCTCACTCATCTCTCCTTGGTCAGCATTACATGTAGTCACTTTTTTGGTGACTACGTGAATGGAGGTCTCGTCCTACCCTCTGTACAACTTCTGTATATCCACTTTTCACTAGCAGGACCGTCTGGCGACTCAGCCCCGTCAAAAGACTTGAAAAGTGTGTGGCCTTTTCCGTCTTTAAGAAGCTTTATTATCGCGGGAAATATACAATCAATATACCGAGATTCCGTCTTAGATCTTTTTCGACCA